TAAACTTATATGTACTAAACGTAAAGTGTAAAATATATCTATTCACAATGACCTGTTCGTCATATAATCACATCCCAATCCAAGCTATTCCCAAGGAACAGTTCGTTATAACCACTTCCCTATCAAAGCTATTGGATAAGGATGTGACCATTTCGTCATTTAATCACATCCTTATCCACGGAACATCATAAGGAAACGGTTACAACCAACATGGAACAACTACAGAGTTCAAAGGGTACAATACGTACAACATTAAAAGTACTAACCTATGTACACTATTCCATAACAAATCCACACATTAAACATGCAGAAATGTATACTGTCTTTGAAACTCTGGCGTCACACTTGACTGACATGTCCGGAGTGAACAGGATTACCTCTTGAAGATGTATGCCGGAACAGATCGTCCCACTCAGGTGAACAGGTCCCACTTGAATGTCTGAGGGAACAGATGGTCTCTCACTCAGGGTGAACAGATTCTCCCTTGAATGTCTGAGGGAACGAAGATGGTCCCACTCAGCTGAACAGGTCCCACTTGAATGTCTGAGGGACAGATGAGATTCCTCACTCGGAACCCCAGGTCCCCTATTGAATGTCTGCCCCTCACAGGTCCCTTGAATGTCTGCACAGATGGATCCCCCTCTTGAATGTCTGAGGGGAACAGATGATCTCACTCAGGTGAACAGGTCCCCACTTGAATGTCTGAGGGAACAGATGGTCTCACTCAGGTGAACAGGTCCCACTTGAATGTCTGTCGGAACAGATGGTCCCACTCAGATGAACAGGTCCTCTTGAATGTCTGAGGGAAGAGATGGTCCCCACTCAGCTGCACAGGTCCTCTTGAATGTCTGCCAGAACAGATGGTCTCACCTCAGGTGAAACCAGGTCCCACTTGAATGTCTGCCGGAACAGATGGTCTCCCTCAGGTGAACAGGTCCCGCTACAACCGTAACACCTACATAATTTGAGTCATTGCGTATATATGAGTGTAGCGACAAGTTGCATTTTGTTACTTCCTCTGAATGTGTCTTTTCGTGAAAGTCGAAATGAATATTCCAGAGTACCAAAGCCATTGCGAACAGTGTGCCAGTTATTTACTTGTCCAACTGTGGGTCAGTTATCTACTTGTCCAACTGTGTGCCAGTTATCTACTTGTACAACTGTGTGCCAGTTATCTACTTGTCCAACTGTGTGCCAGTCATCTCCTTGTACAACTGTGTGCCAGTTATCTACTTTTACAACTGTGTGCCAGTTATCTACTTGTCCAACTGTGTGCCAGTTATCTACTTGTCCAACTGTGTGCCAGTTATCTACTTGTCCAACTGTGTGCCAGTTATCTCATTGTCAAACTGTGTGCCAGTTATCTACTTGTACAACTGTGTGCCAGTGATCCCCTCAAATCTTCTCCAAGTGTGTGTGAAGTATAAGATATTCTATGCGATTGTTTGGCATCTTTTTCTCCAAGTGTTTGTGAAGTATATACTATTCCATGTGATTGTTAGGCGTCTTCTACTCCAAGTGTGTGTGAAGTATATGCTATTCCATGCGATTGTTAGGCATCTTCTTCTCCAATGTGTGTGAAGTGTATGCTATTCCATGCGATTGTTAGGTATCTTCTTCTCCAAGTGTTTGTGAAGTATATAATATTCCATGTGATTGTTAGGCATCTTCTTCTCCAAGTGTTTGTGAAGTATATAATATTCCATGTGATTGTTAGGCATCTTTTTCTCCAAGTGTTTGTGAAGTATATAGTATTCCATGTAATTGTTATGCGTCTTCTTCTCCAAGTGTTTGTGAAGTATATAATATACCATGTGATTGTTAGGCGTCTTCTACTCCAAGTGTGTGTGAAGTGTATGCTATTCCATGCGATTGTTAGGCATCTTCTTCTCCAAGTGTGTGTGAAGTGTATGCTATTCCATGCGATTGTTAGGTATCTTCTTCTCCAAGTGTTTGTGAAGTATATAATATTCCATGTGATTGCAAGGTATCTTCTTCTCCAAGTGTTTGTGAAGTATATAATATACCATGTGATTGTTAGGTATCTTCTTCTCCAAGTGTTTGTGAAGTATATAATATTCCATGTGATTGTTAGGTATCTTCTTCTCCAAGTGTGTGTGAAGTATATAATATTCCATGTGATTGTTAGGTATCTTCTTCTCCAAGTGTGTGTGAAGTATATAATATTCCATGTGATTGTTAGGTATCTTCTTCTCCAAGTGTGTGTGAAGTATATAATATTCCATGTGATTGTTAGGTATCTTCTTCTCCAAGTGTGTGTGAAGTGTATAATATTCCATGTGATTGTTAGGTATCTTCTTCTCCAAGTGTGTGTGAAGTATATAATATTCCATGTGATTGTTGGGTATCTTCTTCTCCAAGTGTGTGTGAAGTATATAATATTCCATGTGATTGTTAGGTATCTTCTTCTCCAAGTGTTTGTGAAGTATATAATATTCCATGTGATTGTTAGGTATCTTCTTCTCCAAGTGTGTGTGAAGTATATAATATTCCATGTGATTGTTAGGTATCTTCTTCTCCAAGTGTGTGTGAAGTATATAATATTCCATGTGATTGTTAGGTATCTTCTTCTCCAAGTGTTTGTGAAGTATATAATATTCCATGTGATTGTTAGGTATCTTCTTCTCCAAGTGTGTGTGAAGTATATAATATTCCATGTGATTGTTAGGTATCTTCTTCTCCAAGTGTGTGTGAAGTATATAATATTCCATGTGATTGTTAGGTATCTTCTTCTCCAAGTGTTTGTGAAGTATATAATATTCCATGTGATTGTTAGGTATCTTCTTCTCCAAGTGTTTGTGAAGTATACCAAGTGTGTGTGAAGTATATAATATTCCATGTGATTGTTAGGTATCTTCTTCTCCAAGTGTTTGTGAAGTATATAATATTCCATGTGATTGTTAGGTATCTTCTTCTCCAAGTGTTTGTGAAGTATATAATATTCCATGTGATTGTTAGGTATCTTCTTCTCCAAGTGTGTGTGAAGTATATAATATTCCATGTGATTGTTAGGTATCTTCTTCTCCAAGTGTTTGTGAAGTATATAATATTCCATGTGATTGTTAGGTATCTTCTTCTCCAAGTGTGTGTGAAGTATATAATATTCCATGTGATTGTTAGGTATCTTCTTCTCCAAGTGTGTGTGAAGTATATAATATTCCATGTGATTGTTAGGTATCTTCTTCTCCAAGTGTTTGTGAAGTATATAATATTCCATGTGATTGTTAGGTATCTTCTTCTCCAAGTGTGTGTGAAGTATATAATATTCCATGTGATTGTTAGGTATCTTCTTCTCCAAGTGTTTGTGAAGTATATAATATTCCATGTGATTGTTAGGCATCTTCTTCTCCAAGTGTTTGTGAAGTATATAATATTCCATGTGATTGTTAGGTATCTTCTTCTCCAAGTGTTTGTGAAGTATATAATATTCCATGCGAATCACAAACACTGTAACTTGCCATTTCATGGAGCAAACTGCCTGTCTTGAAACAATAAAGTTTTTACGTAACAAAACTGTTAATAATGCAATACTGTGTATCACTGAAATACATCATTGAACAAACGAATTGGCAGTCTTACCTAACAGCATCTATTCTTCAAACAGCTAAAAAGGTCTGCAATTACTGTCATAATGAATTGTGACAAACAGTCCAAGTGTGTGTGAAGTGTATGCTATGCCATGTAATTGTTCGGCATCTTCAACTCCAAATATGTGTGAAGTATATGCTATCCCATGCAATTGTTCGGCATCTTCAACTCTAAGTAGGAGTTGTGAATAGTGGGTCGGAAGGGGAGAGTTAATGAGGTCAATCCTCCAGTCATTGATTAGAAAATGTACAGACTTCGAGCTGATGCACACTAAAATGAAAGAAGCAATGTCGGAGTGTTTGGTGGAATTATTTGTTTATATAAATAGAATATAAAATACAGAAAATATACCTTTTCTTTCTGACAGACAAACTGTGTGATGGAAGTATATTTGATATGTCTGATATACACCGTCTATGATGATATCGTGGCACGTGGTCCTGTGCTCAGGTCACAAATAGGACGAAGTTAAGCAACGTTGGGCACGGAGAGTCCTTGGATGGGTGGCAGATGGGTGTTTGGCAGCGTGACTCCTGAGAGTTTCTAGGACTTCAGTCCTGCCCCACAACGAAGCATGTGTGATACATGTGGTCTCACCTTAGGCAAGTGAGTTTGTTCACAATTGTCTCTGTTCACCCAGTAGAAAATGGGTACCCGGAGGGATAGAGTCATGTGACTATAACCCTCTAGCCCCTAACAGGCAGCTTGGGTTATCCGGAGTATTAATGAATAATCAGAATGTTTGGCCGCTTCGAGTATTGTGCATGGATCAATGCGCACGATAAATAGACTATTGTTATTATTATATCGAGACGATTCCTTCATAGTACATGCGGGTCGGGCCAGGCTAGCACAACTCTGAGGCAGTAAATATTAGTTTCAACAATGCTGAATGATATATTAGTGGAGTATGAACCCTGCACGTTAAAGCTGTGTAAAGGCCGGAGCAGCGTGTACACGGTGAAGATATAGCCAACCACCCACACAGAAACTGGGGGTTGATGGTGGGGTGGTGTTCTGACAAGGCTGGAAAAGGAAGCTCAAAGTTATCTTCGAATTATGTGGCTTACAGCCATTACGGAGTTTGGTAGTTTAGTTTAAATGTTGTCATTGCTCTTTGGACAACCTTAAAGAAAAGTGACGAATCCACATTACGTGGCGTCACAACAGAATCACTGGATGGTGTTGGCATTTGGTGGTGTGTACTGTACTCTTTCATGTGGGATTATATGGACAAATGCATCAACAGACACACTCCATTTTTCTTTTGTGGCACCTTCAAGTTCCCACACTCGAAGCAAGAAGTGTGTGGCCAGCAGGATGTATCTGATAATGACCTCACTTCTGTGCTATTGTAAAACATTCCAGAGTCAGGAGTCGAGAAGACAAAATTATACATGTACTGAGTTTATTTCCGTAAAATGTCGGATGTCCATAAATGATATTTTAAAACGTTCATACATACAATGATAAAAGATACTTTCATACAGACACAATACAACTAGATCATTGGATGGAGACGCCAGCGTACCTCCAGTATATAAACTCTTAAGTCTCCTGTTTATACGCATACACGCAAAAATGCATTTGGTATCCGATAAATATGATAATTTAAACTGAGTCTTGAATAAACTAAGTAATGGACAACGAATACAACATGATTGCTAATGGCGATGATATGTATTGCACATATTTCACAATTAATGATTTACAAATGTTCACGAATGTGGATAACACATATGCAGATACACCGACACAGATTCCATTAAAACAACCAATGTATTGACGTGAAAGTGGCAAGTATTTGGCGGCTGACGTGAACATTGTTCAAAAAAGTGGATATCGAGGTATGTAAAACATACATTTTACAAACATAAATGTAAACTTATATGTACTAAACGTAAAGTGTAAAATATATCTATTCACAATGACCTGTTCGTCATATAATCACATCCCAATCCAAGCTATTCCCAAGGAACAGTTCGTTATAACCACTTCCCTATCCAAACTATTGGATAAGGATGTGACCATTTCGTCATTTAATCACATCCTTATCCACGGAACATCATAAGGAAACGGTTACAACCAACATGGAACAACTACAGAGTTCAAAGGGGTACAATACGTACAACATTAAAGTACTAACCTATGTACACTATTCCATAACAAATCCACACATTAAACATGCAGAAATGTATACTGTCTTTGAAACTCTGGCGTCACATGACTGACATGTGACATAAGTGCCTGCCAGCAGGACTTGAGGTAATATATGGTTGCCCATCTGTGTGGAGATCTCACCACACAATGACCAGATGGCGACACATTAATACTGAAATGTTGTCCTGTAACGTAGTGGATGGATGACCGGTTGTACAATGTATTCATTTATGCAGCCTATCGCCCGCATCTCACAGATCTGAAAATTGACACATTTAGTCCATCAGCTACAGATCATATACAGCCGTTCAAAAAAATATTCAAACGTGTGTGTCTGTTGGTAGGAACATTTAGTTGACAAAAGCGCTACATAAAATGTTTACAGATTTAAGAACATTTCATAAGAATACTTTTGAATATGAAAAGAATTGATCCCTACCTGCACAAAGAACGTCGATAAGTTGCAGATTAGTCTCGTGCAGGACGTCATAGTCGGGAATCGGGAACACGTGACCAGAAGATGTCGCCATGGCCTCCACCTTCGTCATATCAACGTCCTCACCAATGGCCACCACGAAGATCTCGATATCGTCGTCCTTCGCCTTTTCAATCTCATATAACACTCCCTTCGGAATCTCCAGCTTATCATCCACAAACACAACAGCCATGCGCCTCGCCATTTCTCGTGCACCATGTTCCAGGGTGAAGCTGTGACGGTGCATCTTCCGAAGGACTTGACTCAGATCCGGGTAGTCACGGTTTCGGAGATCTTTGGCAAACTCATCTTTGTCAGAGTGCTGGAAAGATAAAGGCGTATATTTGGTCAGAGTGATTTAAACTGAAAGGAGAATATGTGGAAACTGGACGTTTAACGAATAAAACTATAAACTATATAGTACCTATCATTCAAAACCCTAACCCATCCAGGTGAGATGACGTTCAATTCTTTGTCGTGTGTTGTGCGTGTGTGCGTGTTTGCATATTGTTTTCGTCAGGCACTAGCAAGTGCCATGTTTCTTTCATACAGTCATTGATTCTTAACCAACACACAGTAAACTGACTCCGAGGCGTCCACTTCTCATTTTATCCCCTCACTGCCAAAGCGACGGTCAGGGTAAAACAGTACAAACTTTTAAGATCATATTTTGATACGGTGGGTGATCATGCCAGAAGCCTGCTCTATGGACTGACGCTCTAAGAAATGCATCACTGGCTTCGATGTGTTAATTCCCTTGCACTTTTCAAAATGTCTCTTTAACTCTCTTTAACTTCATTCCTCATTTGGCCACTCACCTCTCCAAGCTCTATGTCTCCATCGTGACAGTTCCTGGAAACAACACCGGCTCTCATGACGTCATCAGCAAAGTTGAACTCATCCACGACGGTACCGATGAACTCCTGTAATTTGCCCGTCTTGGTTGATCCCATAGCAGCAGAGTCGAACACGAACATGACATCGGCCAAGGTGTCACTGTGGCAAGCTGGAAATGTATCATTTAATATCTAGACATATGGAAATGTGCATTATCACAATGTCTTGATTATGGACACTGGACGGATATGTTGGAAATGACCAGTTATTTATTAGACATTTGCCTCGTACTGAATGCAATAGTAAGAACGAATACTCATTCCTATGTAGCAGCGTCTATATTTACCTGATTGATCACCCTGCATGAGCGCCGCAGCTGTGTTCACTGCAACAAGAATAATAAATGCGTTATTTGGTATACTGGAAACATGCATAATATTCAGCATTTATGTTAACAGTGTCTGCGAAGACGCTGTGGGCAAATTCAGTTAGCAGATATGCCATTCAGATGCATAATACTGATCCTTCATATGACTGGAAATACCTTCACGACAGTGTAAACTCTACTGATCCTTCATATTATTACATATGACTGGAAATACCTTCACGACAGTGTAAACTCTACTGATCCTTCATATTATTACATATGACTGGAAATACCTTCACGACAGTGTAAACTCTACTGATCCTTCATATTATTACATATGACTGGAAATACCTTCATATGACGACAGTGTAAACTCTACTGATCCTTCATATTATTACATATGACTGGAAATACCTTCACGACAGTGTAAACTCTACTGATCCTTCATATTATTACATATGACTGGAAATACCTTCACGACTGTGTAAACTCTACTGATCCTTCATATTATTACATATGACTGGAAATACCTTCACGACAGTGTAAACTCTACTGATCCTTCATATTATTACATATGACTGGAAATACCTTCACGACTGTGTAAACTCTACTGATCCTTCATATTATTACATATGACTGGAAATACCTTCACGACAGTGTAAACTCCACTGATCCTTCATATTATTACATATGACTGGAAATACCTTCACGACAGTGTAAACTCTACTGATCCTTCATATTATTACATATGACTGGAAATACCTTCACGACAGTGTAAACTCTACTGATCCTTCAAATCATTACACATGACTGGAAATACCTTCACGACTGTGTAAACTCTACTGAAACAGATATCTACGTACATCAACAGAGCATACTGAAGTATTGTCTCACCTTCACATGCACCCAAGGCAAAGTTTTCCTTTATATTTTCCAAAGCATCATAGCTCGCCACTTCATACACGTAAGTCTCTGACGGTTCGCTGCCGATGAGGGTCAACTCCTTGGGATCAAAGTTTTTACCAATACCAACAGCAAAGACGTTGATGCCTTCCATCTTGGTCTTCATAGCCTCTGTCTCAGTCTGACCAGGGTAACGTGACCTTCCATCAGTCAGAACTACGGCGATCTTGTCTACGTCGTCACGGACGATCCCTGGAGCAAAGGCCTTCTCGCGCATGTATCTGATGGCTGTTCCGGTGAGTGTGTTTCCGCCCATGTAGGGTATCCTGAGAATGGCTTTTTTGAGCTGTTCTTTGTCCTCATATGTATCCAGACCGAACTGTGGGTAGTAGAGTGAGGAGAAGGTGGCAACACCGACCCGTGTGTTGTTGGGGCCAATGTCGAACAGGTCGACGACGTCAGAGACGAAATCCAGTTGAGTTCTGAAATCGGGTTGCCATATGCTGGATGAAGTGTCCAAGAGAAAGAAGAGCTCAGCTGGTTTCCCTTCGCAACCTGGAATGTCAGAATCAACGTGAAACAAAACGCTTGCAAGTATCGGAATAAAAGGACTGATTTATGAAAATCATTTAAACTGCCCGAGTGATAACTTAAGGTTATTGATTTGAGCTTACTATATTGCAATATACTATTTTTCATATCCCAAGGGTAACAGGGTTACTGTTAATAAGTTTTATAAGATTTATGTTAAAGAGGAAACGTGACAGCTCACCTGGACCAATAAGTGATTGATGTTGGTCAGCCTTTTCGTGTCTCTTATGATGAGCGGGCTTACCATTGACAATGGCGGCGAATGCCTGGAATGTGAAAAGATATAACAATAACCTTGCATCCGAATACATCAGTTAATTACTCTATTAGAGATGTACTGAAATAATTAGGGTAACCGTGAACGTGTACTTTTTGCGTAAAAAGCATTTTGCATTGTTTGAACATTAAAATGCCTATTAGATACATCGAGTTAAAAGGGTAATTTTGCTTGTTAGGACCATGAAATTATATCGAGATATCCGAAATATCGAGACATCCCTATCGAGTTAAAAGAGCTTGAATAATGATAAATTATGATGGATTTTGCAGGGACCGAGATGTTATGTCGAGACAACCGGGATATCGAGCTATCAGAGTTCGACACAACGGTGCTCGACTGTATACCTATCTCATTACTTCATATTGATGCTAAAGATAATCATATATCTTATAAACTATATTTGCTGTACTAATGAAACCAGTGCATACATAACTGATTAAGCCTTGATTAATGATAAATACATTTCTCCATTGACTCACTGAGAAATCAATGCTGTAAATTCCAATAGACTTACCATGATGACAAGTATAAACGGCCTCATGATCACAGTGCAGTATTATTCAACAACTGGGTGCAAGATGGTGATATTCGGGTGTATTCGGTTGATATGTCTAATGATCGAACATTTGTTCTTATATAGGGTAGTAGAAGACGTGGGTGATTTTCTGTCAAATGTGTACTACGTCATCAAAAGGGTAGGTCTCCCTGAGTCGCCATACTCGTGGGTCCCCTGACCTCGGAAATACCACGCATACGTTGTGTTACTACGTGCCCCATGAATGGAACGCGCGCGAGCGATGGGCGGAAGGGGAGAGGGCAAGTGGGGATAAGACAAACATAGATTATAAAGATTTCAGAAGTTGATAAGAGTAGGCATTTTCTGACACGGCCGGATCTGGAGATTGTCGGAAAGCTTTGTTGGGATTACTGCAATAGATATGTGCAGTGGGATGACTCTGACATGACGTCGTGTTGTGGGGAGAGGGTGGAGGGACAGATGGTGTGGAGTGGATTGATACTTATAATAAGAGATATGCTGGGAGATAAAATGGAGGGCGACCAAATATGGTAGACGGGTTCGTGCGAAAATCGTCGAATTATTTGCCCTTGCTCCGATCGCCTCTGAAACTGTTGTAATTCATGACGATGAGTACCGATACGAAACAGTAACCTAAACATTCAACCATCTACTTTCGTGTTTTTGTTTTGTTTAAACAATGTTGTATTTGGTATTATTTCTTGGACTTGTCACACGCGTTCCTACCAACCAAACAAAACCAGTATTTTTTCATAAAAAATAAAACATTGAGATGTCACATTTTCAACGTTGTGCTCCATCAGCTGTGACGTCATATCTTGCACATATGCAAGCTCCGAACAGCTTTGCCCACGTGAACGTGCTGACCCTTGCACGTCTCACACGCCCTTGTGGTGACAACGCATATCTTATGTTACCTGAATAAACATGTATAAAACACAAATACGAGTCCTGGCTCTTGAAAGACACAGATTGGATTCCCTGTAGAATGACAATTCTTTAGTACATTTCACCGTAAAACAGTTTCACTTGACTCTTTCTAAGCCGTTGCGCGCACGCACGCACGCACGCACACACACGCACCGCACGCACACTGTTTATCTATATCTATCCATCCATCCACCTATTCACCTACCTTTCTATCTATAACGCCTAAATGAGGCTGCTATGAACTACAAACTTGGGCATAGCTCCTGAACAGTGTCGACGCTAGTTATGTTTGGGGTTCACTTTCTCGGTGGGTAAGAGGGCTGACTTTGTGTGCTGGTGATAAGTGTCTACGTAGTGTGGGTTCGATAAGAGCTGTGATACATGCCTACCTAGTGTGGGTTCGATAAGAGCAGTGATACGTGCCTACCTAGTGTGGGTCCGAAAGTGCTGGTGGTAAGTGCCTAACTAGTGTGAGTTAGATAAGTGCTGGTGATGAGTGCCTAACTAGTGTGAGTTAGATAAGTGCTGGTGATGAGTGCCTAACTAGTGTGAGTTAGATAAGTGCTGGTGATGAGTGCCTAACTAGTGTGAGTTAGATAAGATGAGTGCTAGTGTGAGTTAGATAGAAGTGCTGGTGATGAGTGCCTAACTAGTGTAGATAGATAAGTGCTGGTGATGAGTGCCTAACTAGTGTGAGTTAGATAAGTGCTGGTGATGAGTGCCTAACTAGTGTGAGTTAGATAAGTGTTGGTGATGAGTGCCTAACTAGTGTGAGTTAGATAAGTGCTGGTGATGAGTGCCTAACTAGTGTGAGTTAGATAAGTGTTGGTGATGAGTGCCTAACTAGTGTGAGTTAGATAAGTGCTGGTGATGAGTGCCTAACTAGTGTGAGTTAGATAAGTGCTGGTGATGAGTGCCTAACTAGTGTGAGATAGATAAGTGTTGGTGATGAGCGCCTAACTAGTGTGAGTTAGATAAGTGCTGGTGATGAGTGCCTAACTAGTGTGAGTTAGATACTAGTAAGTGCTGGTGATGAGTGCCTAACTAGTGTGAGTTAGATAAGTGCTGGTGATGAGTCCCTAACTAGTGTGGGTTCGAGTCCCTGATGGGGCGCAACTCCGAAAACATACTACAGTCAGTACTTTACTGCGTAAGTGTTATCCAAAACATAACAAGTGTTACATTTCACTTCTTCTAAAATGATTTTGTGCATTCATAGCTTTCTTTCTTACATTTTGTGAGGAAGCCGGTGTCTGAATGGACTAGATGACTGACTTTGTGTGCTGGTTATTAGGTGCCTGACTCTGAGAGTGTGGGTTCGAGTCCCGGATGAGACTCAACTCGCCAAATTACGAGAACCTTTCTTTAATGAGAAAGTGTATTCCCAAATATAACAGATGTTACACCTTCCCTCTTCCTAAGTGGCATTGTGCATTCATACACAGTGTCAAAAATAAAAAGGAGAAATAATGATCACAAAATGTATAATTCGTATAAGCATAAAGTGTTATGATAATTGCAATAATGATAAATCACAGCTGTGTGCCAGTTATCTACTTGTCCAACTGTGTGCCTGTGTGCTTGTTGTTTGTCCAACTGTGGGTCAGTTATCTACTGTGTGCCAGTTATCTATTTGTCCAACTGTGTGCCAGTTATCTACTTGTCCAACTGTGTGCCTGTTATCTACTTGTCCAACTGTGTGCCTGTGTGCTTGTTGTTTGTCCAACTGTGGGTCAGTTATCGACTGTGTGCCAGTTATCTATTTGTCCAACTGTGTGCCAGTTATCTACTTGTCCAACTGTGGGTCGGTTATCTACTTGTCCAACTGTGTGCCAGTTATCTACTTGCCCAACTGTGTGCCAGTTATCTACTTGTCCAACTGTGTGCCAGTTATCTATTCGTCCAACTGTGTGCCAGTTATCTATTTGTCCAACCGTGTGCCAGTTATCTATTTGTCCAACTGTGTCCCAGTTATCTATTTGTCCAACTGTGTGCCAGTTATCTACTTGTTTGTCCAAATGTGTGTGAAGTATATAGTATTCCATGCGATTGTTAGGCATCTTCTACGCCAAGTGTGCGTGAAGTATATCATATTCCATGCGATTGTTAGGCGTCTTCTACTCCAAGTGTGAGTTATTAATATAACGCTAATGTTCCCCCGTTAAAAGTGCCCTTTAACCTCGCGAAATATGTATAACCCGTGAAGCTGTTTCCCCAAATATATGAATGTGAAGGTAGGGGGTGCGTATCGGAAGGGGACGGTCAATGAAGTCAATCCTCCAATCATTGAATATAAAATGTATAGACCTCGGGTTCATATACACACAACAGAGAGAAGCAATGTCGGGGCGTTTGTTTGATTGGTTTGTTCATATACAGAGAAAGAAAATGACAGACAAACCCCTGTGTATCAATAGAAGCATATTTGTCAGACTGATAGTGATATATACTGTCTGTGATGTTATGGACGATTCGGTTCATCCTACATATGGGTCAAGCCAGACTTGGAACAACTCTGGGGCAGTAAATATTATGTTCAACCTTGCTGTCCAGATTATTTTATAAATGAAAGAGTTATTTTGGTGGTGAACGCTTTGAACCCTGCACGTTTAAGCAGCGTGTACACAGTCAAGATATAGTTTGCAGCCAACCAACCACAGGCAATCATCACCCAGCAATTCATGTGTGCGTGTGTGTGTGTGTGCGTGCGTGCGTGTGTGTGTGTGTGTTGACAAGTTCACCGTTATAAAATTCATGTTTAGAGACAGTGCAAGCCAGTGTTTAGAGACAGTGTGTCGGGCAAGTAAATCTCGACAGTCACTGGCCCGACTGGCTAGTGAATTTTCATGGGTTCATTTTTTAAAATATATCACTCTCTCCGACTTGTTAAGTTATAATACACTATTAAATGATGCAAGATTATGGCCAGATAAATGATGGTGTTTTACCTTTCTGTAATATACTGAGAGAAACAAATAAAGGATCACAGGAAAATTGAAGGCTTAGCGTTCCTTTAATATTTTCCAGTTTTCATCACCAAAGCGCTATTCAAAGCTGGTGATGAAAACTGGAAAATAATAAAGGAACGCTTGAATTTTCCTGTGATCCTTTATTTATTTCCCTCAGTATAATTTGCTTAGTTTCTACATTCAGATTTCGGGCTAGTGAATTATTTTGTGTGCTAGTAACTTTCAGCCATAGCTAGCCCGACTGGCTAGCAAAATTTGTAAAGTATTTCTTATACTGTTTAGTGATCATCGTCGTGTTTTATCCAAATTTAGATGTGGTATTTTACCCGTGTTAGTGGAAACCGGCAGATATGCCAGGCCCCGGGCCCCGTTCCTCTTTTATAAAGGCATCGTAAATATTGTATTATAAATGATATTAATGATCCCACGTACATATGGTTGAAGATTAATTTTTCACTTTTTAATTTTTATGAGGATCTACGTATTATCCTAATTGAAGCTGCTTATAAATGTATCCATCTATAGTAAAACTTAAATGATACCGACAAGTTTTTATTTCTTAAGGAAGAAAAAAATTGCAAAATATTTTAGTGTCTTCACTTCTACATTATGTTTATAGACGAGAAATATCACTGACCTGATTTATGTACATCTTATTAATTTATATATTTATTATCGTATATATGTTTTTAGTGTCTCATAGGCCATGTGGCTCGACGCACGGCTTTTACTGTTGTATAATGTTAGGTGAGGTGAGGTGAAACTGGGTTTAACGTCGTGCTTGAGAATATTTCGCTCATATGACGACGTCCATGCGTGTATATGTGTAGGTGCGGCTGCTTGTACTAGCCCAGACTGAAGCTGGTTTTATAGTGCTAGCTCACTGAGATACCATGTCGCAGTGAAGCATGAATACCCCACTCAGACACATTATACTGACTCCGAGCCGACCAGTCCTTGATGTACCCATTAATGCCGAGCGCCAGGCAGGGACCAAGAAGTACCATATTTTAACGTCTTTTGGTATGACGCGGTCGGGGATCGAACCCGCGACCTTCCGCTCTCCAGGCGGACGCTCAAACCACTACACCACGGAGGCGGTCGTTGTATAATGTATTGTGTGTAAAATGTACATGTGCGTGCGACACTTTAATAA